TGCGGGGGCCTCCGGGCGGCGGGCTCGGGGCTTGCCTTGTGGGCTAGTCAAAGCCCGTGTCCTGGCCCCTCTTTCGTGGCGAGTTAAGCCGCGCACAAAGCTGCCTCGCTGTCAGCTGAGCGAGCACCAGCCCTGAGCGCTGGCCGGGTCCTGTGGCCTTCTGTGGTGTTGGGGGACTTACAGCCTCGTCTTAGCCTCTGAGGTGAACGTATGTTCCGACTCTCTGTCTCATAACTTACTCCGAAACGCACGTACTACGGACTTGGTGCTTTTAGGGGGCGAGTTAAGCCGCGCACAAAGCTGCCTCGCTGTCAGCTGAGCGAGCACCAGCCCTGAGCGCTGGCCGGGTCCTGTGGCCTTCTGTGGTGTTGGGGGACTTACAGCCTCGTCTTAGCCTCTGAGGTGAACGTATGTTCCGACTCTCTGTCTCATAACTTACTCCGAAACGCACGTACTACGGACTTGGTGCTTTTAGGGTTTATAAACTTACCTCTCAAAAAAAGTCATGCTCCATCTACGCCTGTTGTGACCATGTTTGCAAAAACCCTTTGTATAAAGCCATCTTTAAACACCGTATCCACCCGCAAGGGAAGGCATAACGCAGCCCTTTAGGAAAAGGGATTCTAGCGAGAGAAAGAAAAAAAATATGATAGGATTGCTTTGAGGAGCCCGTATTAATAACCATCTTGAGGTTTTCATCTTGCTTGTGTTATTCAAGCGAGTAGGTATGTAAATATGATTCTACTACAGATACACAGAAAGACAGCTATTTTGTAGCAAAACTTATCTGACTGGGCAAAGTAGTTGTGGGGATTATTTTTAGGGAGTAGCTTAACTACAAGCCTGAATCTTTTATTTGCAGCTCACAGATATTGCTCATGGATATTGTAAAATATTTGTAAAGATAAATGTGCATGTAAGAAAATGTTTCTCCATTCTGTTAGTCAGCTAATTTAATATTGTTAGTGAGAGAACCGCATTTATTTTCATTTGTGAAACATGCAACTTTTAACATCCTTTCTTTACTGTAATATATTGACCATACCATGATACAAATAAAAAGTGTAAGAAAATGTCCAGAAAAATCAAGGTGCTGAATCACTCAGGATATTGGCCACATGCTAGAACTTCTGTAGTGAACAATCCTTGGATGGTTAATTCGAAAAGTGCAATAATGTGGTTTTCCTGGACAGAATAGATAGGGCCATAGTGCCAACATGGCAACAGCAAGACGTTCAACATACACATTTCGTTTGCCAGTACCATTGTAACTCAAGAGTGAAGCTATGTCATTACCATGGTGTAATACAGACACTGTCAAACAAATGTATTTCTTAGACTGGCATCCAACCCATCTTGTGCTAAAGAACTGATGAGATCTACCATTATGTTATAAAGAGGAGGGAAACCCATATGTTTTGTTACCTCTCTTTAAAAATGGTTTCTAGTTCATCTAAGTCATTAAATAGACCACTCAGTGTCCACCTGGTAGTAGTGATCTCTTCTATGTGGGATGGGTCCCAGTAGGCAACAGAGTACCCTGCATGTATAGCTGAATAGTAAAAGTATAGACCAAGTGAAAAGGAGAGTAGGACTTAAGTGGGCATCAACTAAGGATGTTAAAATCAATTTACTTGTGGGGAGAGAAGGAGGCTGCACCTCCACCTAGGGGCTGGATGTGCAGGCCCACTCATTGAGCAAAATATGGAGCCAGGGCAGGCAGGGATCCTGTGTTAGTCCATTGCACCACCAATCTGGAGCTACCTGAGGTAAGCACCTTCTGGTTGGAGCTTACATCCCAGCTTACTGCCCCCAATCTCCTTTAGCCCGAAGCCATTGTCTGCAGCTCCTAAAGCCCCTGAGTTAATACAGCCCTGCTTGAATTCCCCAGGTGCATAATATTTGTCTGCATGCTTGATGTGGACAGTCAGTAATCACCTTGCATAGTTTCAGAGAGTAATTGTGCAACTTTGCCCTTTTTACTTGTGGGTTTGAAGTTCAGTCAGGATCTTTCCACACCACAGCCTTCTCCAGCTGATAAACTGGAGCACACCTGATTGACTCAGAACCACATTCCCTACTCAACCTCACTCAAGTTTGGGAAAAGTTTTTCAGAGACTGGCATTTCTTGTGTTCAGGATAACTGTGTGAGTTCAGAAGCTTCCTTGGGGAGCTGAGTTAGTCTGTAAAGGATAAACTTAAACAGCAAATGGTCTGTTCAGTTCGGGTTCCCTAGCACATGGCTAACTCCAGATTCACTTGGTATGACTTGTAAACTGTTTGAAATGCTTTTTTAATTGTAAAAGTAAAATGGAGATACACAAGGGACTTTTAGCGTGATGAGCCCTGCGAGAATATTTTTTAATTCAGTTATGTAAAAAGAGATCTAATTTTTAAAATTTGTTTGAGATCTGCTACAATATAATCTTGAAAAATGTCTCTCTAAAAGATACAAAATTCAAATGAGTGAGGCAAGCTGTGTGTTGCGTCCAAAATTTTTTAAAAGGACTTTGTCTAGCAATGTTTGAGTACTCCTGGTACTGATTTTATGATGTGAATATTTGATATACAATGCAGGGTTTGTAGTATAATTATCTGGGTATGTGTTATCAGAATGAATGTGAAAAATGTCAAATCTGAAATCAAGTACAGGAAAGAATTGAAAACTTCCTGTTATCATAGAATATGTGTGGCCAAGAAAGTTTACATTCTGTGAGTTCCCACTGGTTCAGGAGACATTTGGCGAATGTGAGTGTTTTTCAGTAAACTTAGCTGGAAGGCGAATTTATCAGATTTTTTCCCTGAATTATCTTGCATTGCTTGCTAGTAACAATTAATCCTTGCACTTTTTCACACTACTTGTTCATGCCCGAAAGTTGCACAAATCCACCGGTGAGAGCTGTATGACTCAGAACTGTTGAGCATTTCAGGCTTTCATGTAAACTTTCACTTCCTTTTAAATAATTTATTGCTGGAATCCATAATTGTGAGAAAATTCTTGGCACTTCAGAATGTCAGTATTGAGGACCATATAATCTTTTCAGGGGTGATAAGGTAGAACGTGGTGACTGAAAAAAATGTGATGCCAGACTTTCACATTACTTTTCTCTTTATATACTTCCTCAGTTTGCACAGGAAGAGGGATGTACTTTTATAGTAACATGTTTTGTACTTACTATTGTTAGAAGTAACACTTAAGCTAACTAGAAATTAAAGAGATTAGAAAAAAAGCCCACATCTTTTCTGCTTATTAATTTGCTTTGTACATTTGGCAACTGGTTACATGCAGTTAATTGCATTGTTTTCTCTGTGTAAGTACTCATGGGTTGTTGTTTGTGTGTGTCTTGCATAATACAGGAAAATGTAAAACTATAAATATTGGCAGAAGGGCTCAAAGATGGATTTTGTACCTGAAACTAAGTTCATTTCTTGAGCTTGCTAGTATGCAAGTTAATTATGTTTCTAAAATATCACTAAGGAATACTTTGACTTTCTTTCACATGGTTTTAGAAACCAAAATGGTTTCAGTAATGACTTTATGGTAGATTTCAGTAATTTCAGTTCTCATAGTTTATAAATCTCAGATTTGGCATTTAGCAACATGGAAAATATTTTTATTTAAATGTAATAGCTGCTGCAAGATGTCAAGTCATATAACCTCATATTAGCAAAGGCATTTTGTCTAACAATCCCAGAGCAGCTGCGGTCTTCCTCAGGTTTATTTAGGAACATTCAGCATGTTTAGCAAATATTAATTTCTTTTAACTTCAGTAGTATTTCATCATTACTCTCTTCCCTACAAATGTCACATCATACACACAGCACATTTATCCTCTGTTGTACTGGTGCCATTTCTTCCCTTTACTAAAATTACCTTCTTTTAGCAGGATGAAGCTAAAGGAGATTGATCGCACTGCTATGCAGGCATGGAGCCCTGCCCAACAACATCCCATTTATTTGGCTACAGGTAACTTGTTGAAGATTGTATTCTCTGTCTGTGGGTTTTTTTTAATTAGCATTGTAAATATCCCTTTAAAAAGTTTACTGGTTAAATGGTATAACTATAATAGTTTAACCAGTTAACCATGTGGCTGGGGTCCATCCAGCCCGCTGTGGGTTGGAGGCTCCCTTAGTCCAACCGTCTGGGGTGGTGGTAGGAGTCTGTTCCAGCTGTCCAAGCACTGCTCCAGCCAGTCAGGGTCCTGCCTCGCTGTGGGCGGGGGACTGTTCCAGCCATTCAGGATGCCACCACACTGCCAGCTGGGGACTGCTCTGGTTGGCTGGGATCCTGCCAGCCTGACCACAATTGATGGGGATGCGTCTCTCCCCCTCCTGCTCAGCCCTCTGATTAACTGGTTACCAGGTAAGCATGCTGGTAAGGCTAATGCTTTCCGGGTAACAGGTTAACCTTTACATCCCTACTTTGTATGCATATGGTATAGATTATAGCACGACGAGTGTATGTGTAGTTCATAATAGAACGTTGCCATCCTGAAGGCTGAAATAGTAATTGAGAGTGCAGTTTAGTGCCTACTTAAATCACTTCTCAGCCTCCAGAATATCAGCTTTCCCTAAAAATCAAAACTCAGGCCTATATAATACTTTATAAACATGCATTTTTGACCTAAATATATGACAGCATTGGATACCTAATTTCAAGATTCTCTCTCCTAAATCCAAAGGTTACATGACCCAGTCTTTACCAATGGCAGTACAGGTTGGACCTCTCTGGTCCAGCAACCTTGGGACCTGACCAGTCTTGAATGAAGGAATTTGTTGGACCAGGGGATGTTCCTTGCTACTTGCCTGCTAGCCCTAGCTACCCTCTTGCTGGGCTGCTACGGCCCTGCTACTGGGGTTCTGGCCCCAGTCCCAGCAGCCCTGAGCTGTCAGCCCGCTTGCCACTGGGGTTCCCAGCCAGGACTCTCTGGTTTAGAAAAATCCATGGTCCTGTCGGATCATAGATGTTGCCGGGTGAGGGAGTCCGGGTTTTTGGAGGTCCAGTCTGTAGTTTTGGCTGCCTTTCAGTCAATTTCTGAGTTTTTGTTTTATTACTTGTGTGATATTCACACAACAGCAGGGAAGAGAAAAACATCACACGCTTTTCTTTTTTTATTTTAATTGGAAAATTTTGTAAAACCAGGAAGGGGATTTAGGAGCAGGTGAAGTACCTGAAACTACTTTTAACCCCCTTTTATAAAAATTGACTATGTTTGGTATTCAGTGTACCTCTGAGATACAAAAGAAATAACAGCTTGAGTATGCATTGATGCTTTAGTAATTTTAAATTCCATTATTTTGTAATATATCATTGTGATAGAACAGTGTGTTTCTGTGTAGGTACATCTGCTCAGCAGCTGGATGCAACTTTCAGTACCAGTGCTTCTTTGGAAATATTTGAACTGGACTTGTCTGATCCTTCATTAGATATGAAATCCTGTGCAACTTTCTCCTCCCCGCACAGGTATGAATTGAGGTTCCAAATTTATGATCTGCTGTATAGAAATGCATTTTTTTGTTGCAACCGCAATCCATGGCATGGGCAGAAAGGACTGTATATGAAGCCTTAGCTCTGTATCAGTGCCACTAGGAAAAGTAATACGAATGGGCTTGTTGTTAAGGTTGTAAACTTGGACTCTGGAGACTTGATTTCAGTAACTGTTATATCACAAATATCTCGAGCTGTTGCAGAAGGGTAGTCGTATTAGTCTGTTTTAGCAAAAACAACAAGGAGTCCTCTGGCACCTTAGAGACTAACAAATGTATTTGGGCATAAGCTTTTGTGGGATATAACCCACTTTGAATTTGATGAAGTAGATTCCAGGCCACAGAAGCTTATGCCCAAATAAATTTGTTAGAAAGTTTTGAGACCACTTTGCTCAAGATAAAAGACTATCAACCATTAGATGATAGAACCATAGAAATGTAGGACTGGAAGGGACTTCAGAGGAACATCTAATCAGGTCCCCTGCACTAAGGCAGGACTAAACTATCCATGAGAGGTGTTTTGAAAACCTCCACTTGCTGTAGTGCTTCATTGTAGTGAGTTCTTTTCCTTGTAAATTCGTCATAACAGTCAGTGAAAGTGTGAGCTGCTCTTCCTGGAGGCAGAGAAGGATCTGAAAACTTTCCACTGACACGGGATTGGGTCCATTAATCTTTCATGCCAGATACTATGTTAGCATAAATCTTAGTCCTTCAGTTGATCCATTGCACTCATAGTGCGAGTGTGTGCTACATGTACAGATTGTCAGCTGCTCATCAACGAGTAATCAATAGTGTCAGTTAATGGATTTTTATCAAAGATATGTAGGACAAAAATATAGTGTATTGTAGCTCGGCTACACTGAGATATATGGAAATCCAAATCCACTGGTTAATGTTTTACATCCACTTATGATGTAGATATAAGTTAATTCAATTTCATTCTTCACAGTCCATGTTTAAATAATGATGTACAAGTCTGTCTTCCAAAGATTTACATCAAACACCATTTCCTGAACTTTAAAAATTATAGATTGATTAAAGTTGTACAATGCAGGAACTACGTCTTCCTTGTAAAGAATCTAACAGGATGATGGGGCCCTGAATCTGATTAGGGCCATGGGCTGCTATCCTAATATAGATAATAACTATTCATATAGCTGTGATAGAGAAAGCAAAAGGATTTTGCAGGACTTATTGGTTCCTGCTATGTGTGAAGTGCCAGTGATATGCCAGCACCATGCCCACTATTTAACCAGTTGCAGAGTAGGACAGGCCTGTCTGTTACTTCTTTGCTTATGGTATTACATCATTTTGCGAACCTTTTAATGCAGTCCACCTCACAATATAAAAATGCGTCTATTTGGAAAAAGGTTTCTCCTGATTCCTATAGACTAGTTTCAGTCTGCAGCATATTTCTTTGATTTGCACCATGCTACCCATTATGCTGGAACAATAAAGGTTGACATTGGGAATTGCTAACCATGAGATTAGAAAAATAAAATTTACGTAAGTTGTGCTTGTGCTGCATATACTCCTCTTGCTACTGGAGCATTCAGCATCTAAAACTGAAGTTGCATATAATTGATTAAAAATGCAGCAAGTTGTCTTTCAGTCATTACTGATTAAAGGCAGCACTGATAGTGCTGATGTATTTTTTTAAAATAAACTCTACCTCTTCGATTTGTTTTACTTTTTTTAGTAACTTGTTAGTTTGCTTTTCAACTGCATTAAGGTCAGTTTGTATGAGCAATGTCATAAGAGGGTGTGTGTGGTTATACAGAAGAAATGTACTCTTTGCATGGCTGAGCACACAGGAATGTTGTTTTGCTATAAAAACAACTTTGATTAAAAAAAAAAGAGAGAGAGAGAAATCAGAATGCTTATAGATTCACCGAGCAGTGTATTAACTTGGTTGTATTTCAGGTCTAAAATATACTCTCACCTGTAATTGAACATTAAATAAATCAAACTGTACTCTAGGCAACACACTTTCTTGTTTGTATATAAGGGTTGCCACTTGATAAGCATAAAATTAAAAAATAATTTTAATAGCAAGATTGTATCTGAGGAATAAGGCTTATGTCAAGGTGCCAGTTCTCATTCACTCTGTTTACCTCTTGCATAAGCAGCTTTTCATTAATATCAGATATTTAAGTGTTTGCTTGTAATAGGCTATACTTATTAGTCTCATTCAGGGATTTCACAGTCCTTTGCAAACATTATCTCAAAAACCCTATGAAGTAAGTGACTGTTCACCTGACTTTAGAGCTTTGAACTGAAGCACGTACAGGTTGGGACCTGTTCACTCTCACACTTCTGATACTATGGGAGAGCTATGAATAGAACGTAGCAGTTCTCACTCATGTCTTTGCTCTTACAGCAGCCTGCACTTCCTCCTGTCAAGTGTTAGTGTTTTTATCAGGGAAAACGTTATGATGTTATGGCACTTACGATGATATGGCAGTGGATCTTCTTAAATTGTTTATTTTTTATCTTGTAGGTATCATAAATTGATATGGGGACCTCATAGAATGGCTTCAGATGGTAGTCCTTCTGGAGTTCTAATTGCTGGTGGTGAAAACGGAAATATTATTTTGTATGACCCAACTAAAATTATAGCTGGCGAGAGTGAAGTTATAATTGCTCAGAAAGAGAAGCACACTGGACCAGTAAGAGCTTTGGATGTGAATATTTTCCAGGTTAGTATTTTTTTTTTTTGTTCAGTACACAATGTCATGGATTAGTAACATGGATTTGTAGAACACTGTAGTACTGTAGTGCAGTATCTTTATCATGAAAATTGAACTTACAAATGTAGAATTATGTTTTGTTTTTGAGTGCAGTTATTTTTTTAACAATGTAAAACTTTAGAGCCTAAAGCAGTGGTCCCCAGCGCGGTGCCATTTATGTGTGCCCGCGGAGCAATCTGGGCTGGCCCGCCCCCGGGCGTGCGGCAGGTGCCAGCCCCGGGCGTGCAGCGCATGCTTGGCCCCGCCCCCAAGCATGTGGCCCGTGAGCGGCCCCGCCCCCGTATGCGCAGCGCGTGAGCGGCCCCGCCCCCAGGTGCCAGCAGCCCCAAAACGTTGGGGACCACTGGCCTAAAGTCTGCTCAGACCTACTTCTTGCTCAGCTAATTGCTCAGACAAACAAGTTTGGTTGCAGTTTGCAGGAGATAATGTTCCCTTTTGTTTACAATGTTACCTAAAAATAAGAACAGGAGTTCTGTGGTATTTTAAAGATTAACAGATATGTTCCAATGTAAACTTTTGTGGGAAAACCCCCCACTTCATCAGATTCATGGAGTAGAATTACAGAGGCAGGCATAAATATACTAGCACGTGAAAAGAAGACATCATAGGACATGCGTCCGTGGTGATGAAAGATTTTGCTTGATAATGATCCAAAGCAGAGCAGACAGTTGCATGTTCATTTTCATCATCTGAGTCAAATACCACCAGCAGAAGTTTGATTTTCTTTGCTGGTAGTTCAGGTTACATAGTTTCTTCCTCAAAGTGTTTCCCTTTTAAGACTACTGAAAGAATGCTCTGCAACTCTGCCCTTCAGATTTTTATACCTTAGGTCCCGAGTGATGTAGCTATTTTTGGAAATCCTACATTGATACCTGCTTTGTATTTTGTCACACCTGCAGTAAAAATGTTCTTAAAATGAACATGTACTGAATCATCATTTGAGACTGTTGTAATATGAAATACACAGCAGAATGCAGATAAGACAGAACAGAGGACACATAATTCTCCCCCAAGGAGTTCAGTCACAAATTTAATTAACACATTATTTTTTAACAAGCATTATCAGTATGGAATCATGTCCTCTGAAATGGTTGCCCAACATGAAGAGGCATATAAATGTTTAGCATCTCTGGCACATAATTACCTTGCAACGCATTGCTACAAAAGTGCTATGTGAATTCCTGTTCTCACTTTCAGGTGGCATTGTAAAAGAGAAGCAAGCAGCATGATCTCCTGCAAATTGTAATCAAACTTGTTTGTCTTAGTGAATAAGCAGTAGGAGTGAATAAGCAGTAGGATTGAGTGGACTATAGGCTCTAAAGATATACACTGTTCTGTTTTTGAGTGTAGTTATGTATAAAAAAATTGTAAATTTGTAAGTTCAATTTTCACAATAAAGAGATTGCATTACAGTATTTCTATGAGATTAATTAAAAATACTATTTCTTCTGCTTATTTTTATATTACTTGATTACAAATATTTGCAATAATAGAAAGTGAGCACTATACACTTTGTAGGCTGTGTTGTAATAAAAATCAATATATTTGAAAGTAGAGAAAAACATCCAAAAATCTACTATTTATTTGAGAGAGTTTGTGAGCGAGTCTATCTGTCCATCTCTCTGTTTGTTCAAGAACTCCTCCTAAATGGTAAGAGCTAGGACCACCAAATTTGATGTGCAGCTTCCTCTTATCACTTAAAGCAAGGTAAGGGTTTGGTTGTGCCAGGACAGTGAGATGTGCCTGGAATGTGATTTTCCCCTCCTCTAATCCCCTGATAACTTGTGAAGGGAGGGGGCTGCTAGCAGGGACAGCTATACTGTGTAATGACCACAGGGGGCAGCAAATAGCCAGAGATGGGGACCAGAACAGCTATAATCCTGTTGGAGCGGCAGGGGGCAGCAGTGGAGGTAAGCATTCCACCCACCGCCTAGGCATCCAGGCCAAATGTTGGAAAAGCCTCTTTCGAAAAAAGAATCAGAAAAAGGTACGCAAATTGCGGTTTGCGTACCTTTAAAAAAAAAAACCCAACAGTGTAGACATAACCTCAAATTCCCCTTAAAACTGTTTTCACTAAAACCAAAAAGACCATCTAAATATTGGGGTTTTTTTAAGATTTTTTTTTTTTAACACTTCCATTTTTGTATGTTGTTCTAAAATAATGATAAAATGTTGGGACCTAAAGCTCATTGGTTTGACACAATTCTTAAAAGTTACAAAAGACTTAATCACATAACTAATTTAATTCCATCACTAATGAGAATTTACTGCTTTCAAAATACAGCAATTTTTCTAATGCATGGCTGCTACAGGACCATTGTTGTTTTTTTTTCCTGTGAGAATTCAGCTTGCTTTAATTTACCAAATAGCATTTTTTCTTTTGACATGGTTTTATGACAGTAATTAGTTCAGTTACCTGTGTTTAAATTGCATCATTTCTGTTCTTGTTTATTATGAAGTTGGAACATTTTTTGCAACCATCATTAGAGACCATCATCATCTTTCTATTACAGACCAACCTTGTAGCGTGAAGCAAAGTGCATTGGTATAATAGTTATTTTCACTAATTCATTCTCTTCAGAGGCCATTGCTATTATCTTAGCATTCCTTGCCCATTTGTAAAACTGCTTCAAATGCTTCTCTTAATTTAGGAAATGTTTGGATGGGCCTTGATCCTGTGAACGCTTACTCATATGTTTAACTTTACTCACGTTTGAGATCCCATTGAAGTCAGTGGGATTAGTAATATGAATAGTGTTAAACACAAGTGTAACTGTTTACAGGGCATTATTCCAATGGAAGCATTTTGTGCAACTCCATTCCATATGTGACCATTGTCTGCACAAGAGTACTGCAGAAACCAGGAATGCTGCCCTGGGAATTTAGGACCAACTCGCTGCAGAGTATATGGGGTCTTAACTAATAAATAGAGTTAGAAATCTTAGAATTGTTAGAATTCGAATTTTTCTATGATTTTTCTTGTACCTTCTCTAAATGACTCTTGTGACCAGGGCTCCATTCTGAGCTAATGGAAATTGGCACAACTCCATGGATCAGGCCCAAAGCACTTGAAAAGTAGAAAGCTGATGCCAGAAATACACTCAGTGTCTATTGTCCTCTTTCTATTACAGACCAACCTTGTAGCATCAGGTGCTAATGAGTCTGAAATCTATATCTGGGACTTGAACAACTTTGCCACGCCAATGACACCAGGAGCTAAAACACAGGTACTGGAGTTATGCTTTTTAAATGATTGGAAGAACTCTGAAAAATATGCAAATTATTTAAGTTAATCAAAATCTCATACAGACAAAGTATTGAAGCAGTTCTGGTCATCAGTCTGCTTTCAAAAACGAAATTTAAATATTTCTGACACCAACTCGAATGTAATTAAGCCCTGGATAAACATCTGTTGTGAGAGACATTCCTTAAAATAATCCCACAGATTTCTGTTGAGGCTAAGAATCCAAAAGTATGTTGTTTCATCATGTATATTATATATATTTTGCTCCCAGACTATAAAATAACTCCCAGTGGATGTTTGTTTTGCTGATTGTAAATGTATTGACTGCTAAGGCTAAAAGTGGAGATTTGTTTTGAATGTGATTCCGTTAAAGGCAATACAGGAATGTTGTGATGAACATCGCTTTTGTGAAAATTGACTGGAGGTTTACATTGCATTCCAAGTAACCAACAGATACTTTGTTTATATTGATGTTAATTGGGGTGATAGTGCTTATGTTCAGTTTGTGTCTAGTTCTGAGTTATTTTGCACAACCAAACCTCCCTGTAAGGTCATAACACTTAACTGCTGTGCGTCAGCAAAATGATTTACCAAATGTCACACATTCAAGCCTAATTGTGCAAAATCTCATTGTTGTGCATTCCATGTACTGTGTTTAATGTGGTTCCTAAGTGAGATTTTGGTCTTAATAGCAGAGACCTCTCCCAGTCAGATCAAAAGGTTGAAGTTGGAGGCAGCTTTAACAGGAAAAGGTGTGGAAGTTTGAGTTAGCTGTGGAATCAGACAGTAATGAGCCATCTTTTCATGGATAAGATTTTACAGTGAGTTAAATTGATGGTCATTTTTGACTTGTCAGTAACTTTCATGTACTGAGTTGCATTTCCTTTCACTAATGGTTTGTTAGCCAGTTATTGTTAGTTTCCTCATTTGTTAAACATCCTTCATAGCTACATGGAGGCTGACTTTTTTGTAGCCTGCTTTGACATGTTTACTGCAGAAATTCACAATCTTTTTCTTTCTGAGGCCTCCCCAACATACTGTAAAATCTTCACAGTCTATCTGTGCCGCAGCCGTTGTTTTTCAGCATATAAAAGCCAGCACAGGTGTTAGATGTATTAGACATGACACATGGAGCCCCACAAAGCTAAGTTGCTCAGGCTTCAGCTTTGATTGGTGGGGCTCAGGAATTCAGCTTTCTGCCCAGAGTACCAACAAGCAGGAACCTTCTTGTGGCCCCAGACTTCCTGGTTGAGAAATTCTGTTCTACTGTGTGTTTAAATCTGAAGGATCTTTATGCTTCCCTGAAAGATGCAGAATAAAAAATAAACAAAGGTTTTAAACCTGAGCTATTAATAGATGGAAAACTAGATGTGACACTTGTTTTTAGATATTCATGTATAATGCCTCAATCATCTTATTATCTAAGCATTGCTGATTAGTCTGTGTTCTGTTTAAAGATGGTCTGGAGAATTGAGGAAAATGTTAGTTTTCTGTCCCCTTTTGCCTCTTCTTTACCCAGCTCAAAAGGTGGTTGTGTTGATCGTTAGTAGAAAAAAGCAGATTTTATTCACCATGAAAGACATTATGGTGACTGGATAACTAACTAAGTTATTGCATAATAGCTGTTCAGAAAATGAAAGATGAACTGTTGAGAGACTGTCTTTAATCAGGCTATTTAAAATGCCGTGATTTTAGCTTGTTTTTTTGTTATCAAATTAGTTCAGTGACTAGTGAACATTTTGGAAACATGTTAAAGATCCATGCCTTTTGAGTTAAGGTGTGAGAGCTTTGTAGTGCATGTGCTCTGAGACATCCAAGAGGGCTTCCAACATAACCAGTGAAGAACAGACTTAACATTCCTAATAAGTCTCAGAGGTATCTGCAAAAACAATGCGTCCTGTGACACCTTAGAGGCTAACAGATTTACTAGGGTACAATGGCACAGGCCTCTTCCTTATTCCTAGTAACATAAACAATAATCAGAAAAATGCCGACTCCAAAAAAAAATCCAAACAAAAAAACCAAAAACCCAACAACTGCCCAACCACCATACATTCTTTCTAATCAAGCGACTCCAAAAAAAAAATCCAAACAAAAACACCAAAAACCCAACAACAACTGTCCAACCACCATACATTCTTTCTAATCAAGGGCATAAGACCAATTATTTAGATACTTTCTTACAGGTCACTCTTAAGCTCTTGGAGACCACAAACTTGCACCACCTGCCGTCATAGCTGAACAAAGCAGGCAGAAAGGAAGGAGGGCTGTAGATGGTCTAGATAGTGCTACTGTGTTTTTAATGCACGGGTTTATAATTTCCTAGTGCCAATGTTATGCATTCAGAAAGGGAAAACAAACACATGGGCTGTGTGAATTAGCTTTGAAAACTTTTCATTTTAGCCGACTTATCTAATAAAAAGATTTGAATTTGCTGTTGGGACATGTTTTGTTTGCAATAGCCTCCAGAAGACATCAGCTGTATTGCATGGAACAGGCAAGTCCAGCACATCTTGGCATCTGCCAGTCCCAGTGGTCGTGCTACCGTGTGGGATCTCAGGAAGAATGAGCCTATCATCAAAGTCAGCGACCACAGCAACCGGGTATTTGTTTCATTGAACTAAACCGAGTCTGTATAAATAACTGTAATTAAATATTAGATTTATTCTTGCCATACTAATACGTTGCATGGATTCTTTATATGCAAACGGTGGATTATTATTTAAAATATTTTTGCAAATGAGACAATTAATATTTGGCAGGAAAGGAATTTGGTAGGAAGTTCAGCATTCAGGCAAGACAAGGGGACATTATGTATTACTTAGAAGTGAGAAGTCAGACTGGTGAAGTGATGCACACCATGCCGATAAATTCAGTATTGACCCATTCATGGCTGCAGTGGTAAGATTTTGTTAAACTAGACTGAAGTGCTGTCATCTGGAATAGGTGTCTCTGAGAGAGAATAAAGCAGCTGATGCATTCACAAATGGGTTTAAATAGTTTTACTTCCACTATGAAGCTACTCCTTGAGGCTGACCTTGTGCCTTAAAACTCGGATTAAGGGTGCAAAGAACTGCTCCTCTGTTACTGTTCTATACAGCACCCAGGCACAAGTGCTGAACTGCTTCCTGGCAAGATACTCCAGAGGTATAAGGACTTGCGGGCAGTGGTCTGCATCCCTGGTGCACTGGACAGAAGAGCAGGCTGCCTTGCTGTGGAAGGGCATGATACTAGGGATGTAGAAATGGGGACATTATCTTTGCCCATGCAGAAGCAGAATAACTTCCAGTCCTCACCCTGATGCATGGGCCATGTCTGAGTAGCCCACATGAATATTCCCTTGGTTGTTTGCAGTCTTATTGTAGCCATATTAGATCCAGAATATCAGGAAGACAAGGGGGGCAAGGTAATATCTTTTAATGAACTAATTCCTCTTAGTGAAAGAGACAAGCTTGAGTCACATTTGTAATATTTGGTTAAATAATGACACGTGTTTAGTAAAGGAAATTATTAATCGGCGATTTCAAATATTTATAATGATAAATGATTAAAGTCTCTAAAACTTGGAAAAGGAGCTAAATGTTTAAAAATATATTTAACAAACAAGTTATTGCTTATTTGAGTTACTAGTAACCTCATAGACTTCCAGTATTAATCTGATTTATTTTCACAATCTGCATTTTTCCAGTCTCTCAGCATAGTTGGATTCTGACACTATGTTGGAGTGTTTGTAATGGATTTACTTGCATGCTAACAGCCAACAATTTTTCAGTAAAACCTATACATTTGTAATTACATCAAAACCCTTACATACGTACTTTAATGACTTGTATTAAAACATATATTTTGGACATAAAATATGACTGCTCTTTTGAGCTAGCTTTTGAAATGCTAAATTCAAATAGCATTCCAGATGTTACAAATCAACATCCTGGGAGCTGGGTTGGAACCTTATTCCACTTTAACATCTGCAGTAGTTGTAGGTAGCTGTCTTACACTTCATTTCTCAGTACTATCATTTGTCAGTTCTTAGCTTTGAAAAAGAGATTTTTTTTGATCTAATCATGGTGTGTAACTTGGCCCATAATCTAGTTCGGTGTAGACAAAACAGCCTCCATGAGCCGGCTCCGGCCCACCAAGTGCGTGGATCTGGCCTGCAGCAACTCTGCTGCTCTCCCGCCCCCAGGCCAATTGAGACCTGGGGATGGGGGGAGCACACAAAGTCTCCTCCTCCTACTGGGAGGACAGCTAGCAGGTCTCTCTAGCTGCCGCGCACTCTTGTCAGGGTGGGAGCAGGGGGTGAGAGACTTTGTGTGCTCCCCCTGCCCCCAGACCCTGATTGTTTTGGGGGGTTCATTATTTTCTGTAGCTCTGCTTAACTATCTTGTGGTCTAACACTACTTTATTAGATGCACTGCTCAGGCTTGGCATGGCACCCTGATGTTGCTACGCAGATGGTCCTGGCTTCAGAAGATGACAGGATGCCTGTGATTCAAATGTGGGACCTTAGGTTTGCTTCTTCTCCTCTTCGTGTTTTGGAAAACCATACAAGGTATTTATTTTGGCTGGTTTGTAAATGTTGAGTTTTGTCTGTTTTGCCATTTCCTCATTCTAATACTGGTTTGTATCCATCACTGTATTGTTACCCTCTGTCATCTTGTATTGAGGCCATCTCACCTTTAAGCTCCAAGGCAGATGCTTTAGCAGCTACTATAATCCTTGGTCCCTAGACTTTTAGTGATACAGCTCGTCTTTGTGCCCAGCAAACCTGCACATGGGTCACATTGGTTTTAAGGAGCTAAAACTATAAAAAGAGTTCCCAGCTTTAATTAAAAATGAAGTTTCTAGCTGTTTCCTTTGAGAAGAAAGTCTCAAAAACTTGTAAACCAGTTGCTAGGATTCGAAGAAACGTTTGGGCTCCATTTCTGTGGATGGGTTGGGGGAATCTAAAGAACCCACCCCAACAAAGACACATGCACACTTTATAATGCAAAGTGAGTTTTTTAAATGTGTACTAATAAATCCCTTCACAAACTCTCCCCTCGGTCTCTTGTCTGGCCTGGGGTACAGTGTTGTGAAAGTGTTGGACAGGAGATGACTGCATTTGAGGGTGAAGGACAGTAAAAAAAAAAAAATGTTGATGTTGACTATGCTATGTTAACCTTTTAGTAAGAAAAAGAAGATTGCCACACGTTTTAGTCCAAGTTTTTACCTTGCAGTTTTCCAGGTCAGGCAGAGTTTGTGAAGGGTTTTACACAATCTGCCTTTGATATCCATATTTTTATCAGTGGAAGCAGTATTTGGCATTCAGGTGCCTTGTTGGAATGTGTTCGTAGCCTGTGGTACACTTAAGGACTCCTGATATGGAAAGTGGAAATAATCTATTTCAGTCAAACAAATGTTGGCTACACCTTCTCTGCTCTCTCACCATAATGTGGAATAGTAATAGAAATGTAGCCGTGTTAGTCTGGTGTAGCTGAAGCAAAATGCAGGACTATGTAGCACTTTAAAGACTAACAAGATGGTTTATTAGATGATTCTGTGTGGAGTGTGTACTAATGTGGAGTTTGTGGAAGAGGAATTTAGCATTTAAAGACAAAGTAGTCAGAAAATCTAGACATTTGCAAATGAGTCCCACATTAATCATCATGCAGTTACGTTAATAATTTCTTGCTGTGACTTTTCATACAGGGGTATTTTGACCATTGCTTGGAGTATGGCAGATCCTGAGCTGTTACTCAGCTGTGGAAAGGATGCTAAGATTCTCTGCTCTAACCCTAATACAGGGGAGGTATTGTATGCAAACCATTTTAAAAGGTCATAAACAGAAATATTCTTTGAGTTACAGTTGTTATGGAGAGTAGTAGAAAACATACCAACTTTGTATATAGATAACACAATGCTGTGAGCATAATATTTTTTAAAAGTAGTAAATATTTGTTTTTTATTTTTACACTGTGTCCTTCAGACCAAAACTATGTTCTCTCATCACAAACATTTTGTATACAGAACCCAACTGAGAAAAAACAGGTCAGTCTTTATACAAATGTGACCTTTTTAAAACCAGGCAGTGTTAGGTGCTTCTGTCTGCCGTATACATTATGAACAAGAAGAAGACAGGGCTTCTCCACCACTCGCTCTTAGGGCTCACCAAAGGGACGCTGGTTTTGTCCATTTCATCTCCCACTGCTAAAAGTAGTTTTGTCAAATGTATCTGCCTCTGGACTACAGGTTGTTGGTTTTTTTTTTTTTTTGTCCATGTTTTCCATGGGGTATGTTATTGCTTTTCACACACCTACTATTCTTTTCCACCCAAAGAAACCATGAGACACAAATCTGGAGTCTGGTGATACATATGGGAACCCCCGAAAGCTTCCTGGCACACATGAAAGCCTTTGTAGACCACACTTCTCTCTTGGCCCTCACAAAGTGGTGTTTGAGGTTTCTTTGCTTCTACTCCGAGGAAGGAGTTTTGGAGGTACAGGGCTTCCTGGACATTGGTTATTTACTTGATTGCATCCCTTCAAAGCTACACATGAGAACTCTTGATTTGGGGGAGAAATCAAGTTAGTATTGATTGTCCCATCTCACACTCCACCATTTAAACGGCAGCACCCTATTCTAATACAGCTCTACTACATCTTTTTGGCTCTGACTTGACAAAGCACTTAAGCGCATGCTTACTGTTAAGCAGTTGAGTAACTACAAGGCATTTTCAACCAGACACTATTATTTGCTATCAAAGTGGTGAGAATTAATATCTGATTGTATTGATGGAAAATTAATAGACACTTTAATAATTACATTCCTTGCAAGTTTTTTCATTAAACACTTTTTAAAAGGTGCGGATTTTTTTATTTAATAGACTTAAGTCTTTGATTAAAATCTATAGGAAGTATATAGGTAGTGTTTTGCCCAGCAGAGGGCTCCCATAGTTACTATATAAACCAATAAAAATCTTTAACAAAAACAAATAGTCCTGCAGCAACTTAGAGACTAACAAAACATGTAGATGGTATCATGAGCTTAAGAAGTGGGTTGTGCCCACAAAAGCTCATGATAGAGACTAACAGAAATGTAGATGGTATCATGAGCTTTTGTGGGCACAACCCACTTCTTAAGCTCATGATACCATCTACATGTTTTGTTAGTCTCTAAGGTGCTGCAGGACTATTCACTGTGTTAATTTTGTTCAGTTTATAGACTAACATGGTTACACCTCTGAGACTTTTGATTATATACTATAAACTAAGAGAAACTCATTGAGTGATGGAAACAATTTTCTTTGGCTGTTTGAAATATGCCCTAACACCTTCCTGTGGATATTGCCATAATGCAAAATGACATAAAACTCTACACAAGACATTGGTGAAAGTCAGCATCACTAAACAGACTTCTCCCAAGATTTAGCTTTTACCTGATTCTTCCAGTCTGGCTCTCGTGCCAAAGCAACCAGCTTTATGCTGTAGCCTGATCGGCATCAGACTGTGGCTCTTTTGAATCAAAGTGGAAAGCCAATTTCTTAGTTTTTCAGCTAAGAAACTTAGCATAATTTTCAATAAGATTTCAGCTCCCTTAGGAATGTTTGAAAAATATACCCTAAGCGACTAGTCCAGAGATGGGTACGGAACTCAAATCTACTGAATCCTTTCCGGCATCTTAACGACAAAACCATCATTTTCTCTTGAAAGATTTGGCCACACTTTCTCTCATCCCCTGGAGATGATTTTAAAGCAAGACATTGTAATCCTATTTCAAAGTGTGGCTGCCCTTCCTACTGACATAGCGTAGTTAGTGACACAGAAGAATCTTTGTTGCAGTTTATTATGTTAATATTGTTTCATCTAGCTCTGTTTTGGCACAGGTGTTGTATGAGCTTCCCACAAATACCCAGTGGTGTTTTGACGTTCAGTGGTGCCCCAGAAACCCTGCTGTCCTTTCCGCTGCTTCTTTTGATGGACGGATCAGCATTTACTCCATCATGGGTGGGAGCACAGATAGTCTGAGGCAGAAACAAGCAGACAAGGTACTGGAAAAATGTGAAGTTGGGGAAGAAGATACTTTGTTCCGTGTGACAAAATTTGAAAGTGATGGAAGCATTGACAGCCAAAGTAGAATCTTTGTCTGTGTAGATTCTGGTGTTCGTACTCTTCCTATCTAATTGCTAACTAATGGTCCTTAACTGCTTCTTTTAACTATCCAATTTTTAGGTGCTTATAGACTATCAGTTTTGCCTGTTACATACCAGCTCGGTGTGTTCCCTTTGATATTTATATACCCACTGCCTCCTTTTGTCCCTCTCCCCCCCCCCCCCCCTTTTTTTTTCTTTTCCGCCCC